GAATTTCTCTAGCTAGATGGGGGTGTAGAGAATTAGAGAATGTAACCCTAGGTTAGGGACCATAACCCCTTATTTATAGATATTGTACTTTTGTAATTTAGCCCCTCAATAAATCACAATTACAACCTGGTATCTGCACATATAACCCCATGATTATATTTAAATACCCATTAACCCAACTTAATTGATCACTTTAGTGGGTTATCCTGAAAGATAGCAATACACATTGATTAATCATATGTGTCCACAAATAGATTTATTAGATTAAATCCAACAAGAGACAGAAGAGTTGTCAAGCACCGAGTACAAGGGAAGAGTCAGGGTTGCTGATGTTGGGAACGAAGCATGTGCAAGACGCTAATTTCCGATCTGATTGAAAAACGCTCAGGAAAAGCAGCAACAACAATTGGACTATTGTCGGAGTTGCTGAGGGGAAACACATAGATGATAACTGAAGAAAACCCTCTCTACGACCCCCGAAACTAAGAAAGAAGGGAGATCCCTAGTACTGAGAATATTGGGAAAAGAAACTCTATTTATTCATTTAATTATTACTAGTACTGCATTGCATGTGATGAGCTTGACACAGTACCTATTCATGCAAAATAAAAATAAAAATATTTAACACCTATGCTAATATAAATAGATGTATAAAAACATTGCTGTAAAAAGTGATATTACTCTAATACAATTCAAAATCTTAAAAATTAATGACTTATATAGGAGTTTGTATGTTTCGTGTGTTTCATCTAATATTCACTATAGAATAAAAAATGATTAATATATCATTACATAAATAAGGATCAAGAATTGCATTTATTTATATATACTTTTCACTTGCCTTCCATCTTCACAGAAAAATCCATGATCCTAGGTAAACTAAACTGACGTTGACCTATTTCATTGTTGAATTACTAAAAGAAGATCCTAGTGTGAAATCTAAAGAGAATTCCATGCAAAATATTATCTAATAGACTAAGAAGCATCTCCAATTTATAACTCATTAATTCAAAGTCACTGATACTAAATGAAAATTCAATGAAGAAACTTAGCTCCATTATTTTGAAAATAAAAAAAAAAATTCTAAAAGAATACTCACGATAGAAATGCTTCTCACATCAGCACTATATCTATTTCGTCTAAACATCAGATGCTAGAACTGTTAAAGTAAATGTAAATATAAGTGTGTACTAAATCCTAGTTTAGTCCCATATTGACTATGTGTAGAGAAGTAGTCCTTTGTACATCTATATATTTGGCGTGGAGTCTAATAGACAATGTGTGAGATTTTCTTAATATTCTGTATTTAACATGGTATCAAAGCCTTGTTGATCTTAGTCTAATTAATCTCACAGTCCCCACAAGAGTTTTTTTTTCCCTAATTAATCTCACAGGATTGTCCCCCTTTTCTCTCTTGTGATTTCACAAATCACGGAACTAGCGTGATTACAACACGTTTCCAACTAGTTCTGACTTAATCAGATCTAATATGCAGACTCGTAGGCATTCACGCCTCCTTCAAATTTAGGCATCCAAGCCTCCTTAAATCTCGAGCATTAACGCTCACGAAATATAGACACTATTGCCTTATCATTCAAATTTTAGCATTAACGTTGTCATGGCAACACCTAAAAATATATATCATCAACAAACTGATGTTAAACTTGTGGGACTGAACTATCATGTATGAGCGTTTATTCTCAAGTTTCACCTCTTGAGTAGAGGTCTTTGGACATGTCAATGGATCTTTTGTACCACCTCTCAAAGCTACATGCATCACTGATGATGCATACAATAAAGCTTTTTAAGCTTGGACCATAGGCAAACATATGGCAATGGCCATTCTCATTCAATCAGTTACACTAAACCTTTGGCTACAACTGGTTAATTGCACTTCCTCTAAATCTCTATAGATGCATCTCTAGGGTTCTACACTCAATAAGATGATGCTCAAGAATATCATCTACTTTAAGAAGTCGCTTTGGTACAACAAGATGAAAGATTCATTCATAAATTTTATACTTTTATGGTTGATTTGTGGCAGCACCTTACAGCTCTTGAGCCTGCCATAGCTGACCCAAAATCAGTCAAAAGTTTCAATTCATATGAGACCGACAATGTCTATTTCAATTTCTCATGCAACTTCGTCCTAAATGTGAATCTCTTTGAGGACAACTAGTTCATCATGTACTATGTCCCACACTGGATACTGCTATTGTTGAGCTTCTTGCTGAGGAGACAAGACTTTGCTCTTTATCTCAACAACTATCTTAGAGTTCTGCTCTTGCTACTACCAAGCAATTTTCTCGTCCATTGAATTCCACTCCACAGAGTTCATAGTCAAAATGTTGTCACCTTCACATAACAAATCTCATTCCACTAAAAAAAGTTGAGTAATTGCTTCAAAACGTGCTGAGGAAACCCATTCTGGATGTTTGTACTAGTACCATCCCAATGATTCCCTAGAGGTTGCATTGCTAACTTCTCATCATCTAGCTCCAACTCAGAAGCTCCAACTGATCATCATAACTATCTACATCAACTTCAAGAACTATTTTAGTTTTTGAGTATTATCGGTAGTTCTTCTGAAATATCTCCTGTTGCGTCTACTTTTACCACACCTTTAAGTAAATCAACTTCAACATGGATTTTGGATTCCGGTGCAACTCATTACTTGACTATTGACTCATCGCATTTAGTCTCCACCTCTCCTGTATCACTATCAACTACAGTTCATACTGCTGATGGCAAACCATTATCTATTATATGTAGTGGGCATCTTAATTTACCTTCTTCATTTTATGTCCCAAATGTACTACATATTCCTAAGCTTGCTTTGAATATTTTATTTGTGTCTGAATTAACTGTCATGAACCATATTGTCTCATTCAATTCCATATTTTATTCTATACAGGATCTTCACACAGGGAAACCGATTCGGACAGGTCATAAAATTGGTCTCTATGTTTTGTATTCTGGTGCAACATGTATATGAAGATCATTCCCTGGGATGTTCCATGAGGGATCATCATCCTGCAGATAGATTGAATCTTTTCGCTTCCATTTTAACGTCCATTCAGACTTTTCTTACAGCAACATCAAGTTCACAGGAACCACAATCCTACCATGAGGCTATAAAATTTCCTGAGTGGAAGCAGACAATGTTCGAAGAACTACATGCTCTTAAGAAAACACAAACTTGGGAGCTCACTGATTTACCTCCAAGTAAGCGGACAATTGGTTATAAATAAATCTACAAGATCAAACTCCACGCAGATGGTACTATTGAGCGATACAAAGCCCGTCTTGTAGCTCGCGCCTTTACACAACAATATGACATTGATTATAATGAGACATCTGCTCTTGTGGCCCGGATAACTACTGTTCGTACACTTCTGGCAGTCAATGTCGTTCATACTTGGCAAAATTTTCAAATGAATGTCAATAACACTTTTTTTACATGGTGACATTTCTGACAGATATTTACATGCTTGATTTGCTCAATTTAACACCATTATTCAGGGTGCCAGATTTATTCATAGTTCTAATAATCCTGCTATGTTTATGCACACTCTGGGACTATCCTTCTTCTATATGTCAACGACATGATTCTCATCGGTCCCTCGAAATCTCATACATAACAGGTCAAACGATACTTGAAGTAGACATTTGAGATGAAGAATCTTGGACATCTTCGATACTTTTTGGGGTTGAGATTGATCGCTCGCCCCAGGGATATATTCTCTCACAAAAGTGATTCCTCACAGATATTTTAGATCATTCTAGGATGACAGATACTACGACTACACCAACACCTCTTGAGCTTAATGTTAAGCTTTGTTCTACTGATGGTAGGCCTTTATCTGATCGTTTCCACTACTGTCAACTCATAGGGAGTCTAGTCTACCTCACCACTAGTTAACCTAATATTGCCTATGCAGTACATATTGTCAGTCAGTTTGTATTAGCTCCTCATATAGATCATTATGCAACTCTTTTGCATTCTTTGCTATCTTCGAGGGATTTTGAGTCAATCTCTATTTTTCGCATTCTCCTCCCATCTTCAGTTGTGAGCTTATATTGATGCTGACTTGGCTGTATATGTTAAAGATCGTCGCTCCAAAACTAGTTATTGTGTACTTTTTGCAGATTCTTTGATTTCTTGGAAAGTAAAGAAGCAAGACGTTGTTTGTCGTTCTAACTCTAAGGCATGCATAATATTTACAATGGCATCCACTACTGCTGAAATTGTTTGGCTTCGTCGATTACTCGGTGACATGAGCGTCTTCTACTTCTCCCACTCCTCTTCATTGTGACAACACTAGTGCTATCAAAATAGTCAGTAATCCTGTATTCTATGAGCGCACGAGGCATATCGAGATTGACTGTCATTTCACACATCACCATTATATCAATGGCATTATTTCCTGACCTTACATGATATATCCAACAGCCCGTTCTGTCGATCCTCGCTTCTTGCGGTGGTCATAGGACACTCAGGCACTAAAAATGCTAGAACGCTATGACACCAACATATTGAATGCACATGACTTGGACTGTGACAAACAATGTAGATAGATAAGATACACACCGAACCTTTAATTTTCTTAGCAAATGCATTTGGCCCTCAATTAATACCCTACCAGCTTAAAACTTCGATTGATACGAATTCAGTACACAACAATATTTCTTTTTCCACGGACATGGTCAGTAATTACTTCCATGAGATAAATCAAATAATCTACGTTCTGATACGCAAAACTTCAAATTTCAGTGAAGTTTATTTCTCCAGCCTTATATTTACCATGTGATCAAAATACACGAAAATATTTCCAGCGAGGGACGAAAATGCTATTTAGTCGAGTTATTCAACGAAAATGCTATTTAGTCGAGTTATTCACATATCAGACGCTATATTGATAATGAAAGTTGATAGATAAATTACGAAGAAAACGAACGGCACTAAAATCACATAGTAGTATCGTGTTTGGTGCCTGAAATCCTGATAGAAATTGTAAGAGGAGCCGGAATTCAAGTAACTAACTAAAAGTATCATATGATCATAATTAGAAACTAAAGCAAGAAACAGTTAATTAAAAAGGGTAGCACGTAATTAAAGTAAAGCACAACTTTCCAATTCTCTCTTTCTCGCTCTCTATCCACCCATTTTCAGACCCAACATAGGTAGATAGAGAGTGAGACAGAGGGAACTACTGATTTCATTGATACTTCATATCCTTAGCGTTTAGTACTGCTTCCTAATCCTTGGCGAGAGAAATCTGGATTGGATGTGCGTGCCAAGGTATCGTCGCTTAGTCCAGCGCAAGCCGTCGCGACTTGGCCTGAAGTGCAGAGGCCTGTAATCCGCTTTTTCACACATGAAGACTGAAGTGGCGAATCTTCTCAAAAGTGCAGGCAGCCCCTGCAGCACATTCAGTTTGTTTTCAAACAAAAGCTAATTAATTTAGGAAAACAAACATAGATATGATGTGAAACAATTTAGGAAATCAGCCATCAAAAGATACGGTAACGATTAGATTTGCCTTGAGAGTAGAAAGGATCTTACGACTTCTTCTATCACTATATATATGCTAAATGAGGTGACAATTGATACTTTACGTGGTGATAATTTATGTTGCTATATAAATCAGCTAATCAATATATATATTTATGAGAGCTATCCTAGAAAGGTGCGCATGTCAATCTCTCTAATCTTTAAAATAGTTTATTTTGCTAAAATGAGATGTCAAATCAGGTTCACATATGCCCATAATATACATATATATATAGTATAAGATGCATAATTGTAATATAACAATTTAGTAAAACTGGAAGTCAAAAGATTAAAATATATCTTGTAAGATATGACCTCTTGACTTAGCACGGCAGGCCTATATCTAGCTAGTTTAATGAGTCAATTAAAGTTGAGAAGTCTTTCTACCTCAAAGGAAAAGTAAAGATAATCATAAGAATGGAAAGATCACCTGAATCCTGGCTTCAGTGACTTCACAGATTTTGTGAGAAACGACGTCTGACCAGCTCCTATCGTGCAGATCACGATGAAGTCTCTTAGCTGCGACAGGGGAGGTGAAGTTTACGAACGCATAACCCCGGTTGCATCCGGTTCTGCAAATTTCAGCCCCAGTTGATATATTGTCAAAAACATTACAACCTAAAGATCTGCATTCCAATTAGGTCACTAGAATGGAGTACAGCTAAAGCAACACTTTTGACCCATGCAGGTGACACGAAATTCTCAAACTCGGTCACAAACAACTTATATCCCCCCCCCCCCCCCCCCGTTTTCAAAATTCACATATTTGGGAAGGCAAAAGGAACAAAAAGGAAAAAAAAATATTTTAAACTAAAAAACTAATAATTCTTTTTAACATTAACTTAAATTTCCATAAAATTTCATTACAAGTGTATGAATGTCACATAATGCATGCAATTATCATCATGTATGAAGAATAACTAGAAGATATTACAAAAGACAACAATGATTTTTGTGGGATTTAAATTTAATCGTCTCACATGCCACGCAAATTTACCTTAAAAAAAGACTGTTGAAAACTAAAAAAATCTAATAACTATAATAGATGAGGGGGTTTCATGTTGAACTTAACATTAATAGATTAAGGATATTCTTGAAAAACTGACATTTGTAATAATTTACCCTTTTTCAGTTTTGGTTTGTAGAAATTAACTTGTTAAAAATGCGATTCGTAACCCAGAGACATTAGGGACCCAATCCTGATAAATGTTAATCTCTTTGAATGCAACATAATTCAGATAAACAAATATAACACAATATTACCTGAAATCCATGGGCAGATACAGGAAATCATACTCAGAGAATTCAGGCTTGGTGCAGCCTTCAACTTGAAGCCTCTTGTTCACAATGCAACAGTGCTCATCTAGTAACTTCAGGAGCCTTTTCTGGCTACAAAAAAGGAAAAACAAAAACCAAGCTCAACTGAAAATGAACCCGAACATAAATTAAGAGAAGAAAATAGAGGAGTAGGAAGTAATATATATAGCATACTCGAACTTGTTGGGGATGTTTCTTATCATCAAGGTCGTCGTCGTCGTCTTAAACGGAGCTCCTTCTTCTTCTTCTTCTTCTTCTTTCTCCTCCTCCAGTTTGATATTGCTGATTTGGGTTTCGCTGCCTATAGTTTCTCGATCTTGCACTCTGTTAAAAATGCTGCTGCTGGAATTAGGAAGAGCTAGGTGTGGCATATAATAAGCAGAGAACTTCTGAGCTGGAGTATGTGGTAGAGTACTAAATGAAGGCAAAGGAAAGCAATTATAGCTGCTACCGTTACAGTTATAATAATAGGGTAAACGGTTGGGGTTGAAACTGTAGTAGTTATTGCTCTGATGAGGAACAAAATAAAAAAAGTTACAAGGAGGAGGAGGAGGAGGATGATTAAGGTACTGATGTAAAGGTGCAGCTGTGGTGTAGTCCATTAATGGAAGATTAGGGTAGAGAGGAGTCAAGGCCATGATGCGCAGCTCAAGTGAGGAGGAGAAGGAGAAGCTATGGAGTTGGAGAAATGTAGCCCTAGCGAGAGTGTGCAGTTTAAGTTTATAGAAAATAATAGCGGAACTTCAAGCTGAAACGGAGCATCTCCCGGTCATCAGATCCCAGACCATTCCCGTTGATCCTAGAGCTTTGAGGGAGCAGGACCAAAAGGGTGCTCATAAAGTTAGGGATGCAAGAGTGGCTGTGTGTATTGCACAGATATACATTTTTTATCCACTTTTTCTGTAATGATCTTTTTGTAGCTCTTAAGAACTTTTTATCTCCCTTGATGTGTGTATGATAAATGTGTACTGTTAATGTATCATAGTAACATCTTTGCTGGGGATAATTATATTGGGATCAAACTAATAGAGGTGTAATATTAACATAATAGCTTGATCAGCTTGACACTGTTCAGATGTGTAATGTTAACATAATAGCTTGATCAGGTTGACACTGTTCAGAGGTATAATGTTAACATGACAGTGAGAGTATATTTGACAGAGGTGTAATATTAACCAGTCAAATGGGATGACCGACAAATGTATAATATTAACCGGTTGGTTGAACCAAACTGATAGAGATGTAATATTAACATATCAGGTTTGTAAGATTAGTACTGTTCAGAGGTGTATTGTTAATATGACAGTACGAAAAAATATTAACAGAGGTGTAATGTTAACATGCCAAAAAAGAGTGACCAATAGAGGTGTAATGTTAACCGGTCAGTTCACGAGAGTCCAAAGGACGACTACCGTTTAGAAGTGTAATGTTAACTTAACGGTAGGAAATCAATGGAAGTGTAATGTTAACTAATCAATTTTTGATGAGAGCGAGTTTGACAGATGTGTAATGTTAAGTGGTCAAATTTGCTAGGATAGGTTGACAGAAGTCTAATGTTAACCAGTCGACAAAATGATGTAATGTTAATCGGTCAGATCATTCAAAGTGAGAAACTGTTCAGAGGTGTAATGTTAACATGACAGTTTGATCAAATTGGTACTGTTCAGAGTTGTAATGTTAACATGACAGTACAAGGGATTCTCAAAGTGGACACTGTTCAAAGGTGTAATGTTAACATGACATTGATAAGGATATTTTGGAGTGGACACTGTTCAAAGGTGTGATGTTAACTTGATGACTCGTTGAAGATTTTGGAATTAAGAACATCAATATTTCTGATCAGAGATGAAAACTTAAACATAACCAAGAATCTCGATCCGTGGGGAGAGGAATTGGCCGATATCATGGGTAGTATTTCTTAAGAAACTTTCCATTGATTGACACCATGAGCCTATTGCCATGTTGGTTAATTAGACGATATGCTCCATTTGAGTAGACTGTCTTTACTACAAATGGACATTTTTATTTGGGTTAAAAATTTTCTTTAGTCTTATGCGTCATGACCATGGGTCGACGAACGACTAAGATCAAATTGCCTTTTTTGAAAGATCATTCTCTGACTCTCCTGTTAGAGGCCCTTGAGATCCGTGACTGGTACATCTCGATCCTTTGCTGAGCTTAAAGTCTCAGCTCATCCCGCGCTTCTAGTTTTTGGAGGCGCTTTTGATGATGTTCTTCAATTGTCATTTTCTCGGTGATAACAATTCTTAATGACGGTACCTAAATTTTTAGAGGGATCACGGCTTCGCATCCGTAGATCAGTGAGAATGGCGTGGAGCCAGTGGGAGTGTGGACTGTTGTTCGAAAAGTCTATAAACACTCTCCGAGTTTCTCGTCCCAATCTCGTTTATTAGAGGAGACAAACTTCTACAGAAGTTTGATGATAGTTTTATTGAAATCTTCAGCTAGACAATTAGCAGCTGGGTTGTATGGCGTAGAAGTCACATCTTAGATTCTGTACTTGTTGTAGAATTTGAAGAATGATCGACTGATGAATTGTGAACCGTTATCATGAATGATTTGTCTGGGAACGTCGAATCGATAAATCACGTGTTGTCTCAAGAATTTTATCACTTGAGATGTCTTGAATTCTCTGAGGGGAATAGCTTTGGCCCATTTAGAGAAGTATTCTTTGATGGTTATGATGAATCGATGACCTTTGGTGGACGGTGGGCTGATTGGCCCAATGATGTCCATGCCCAAGCTTCAAATGGCAAAGAGGCAACTGTCAGATGTAATTTTTCTAGAGGTTGATGTAGAAAGTTAGTATGAATTTAACACGCATGACATCGATTAGCGTATGCTACCACATATTCTATCATTATCGGCCAGTAATAGCCTAGATGACGAAGTCGGTCTTGAAGTTTGGGATCTGGTTGATGAGCTCCACATGCACCATTGTGGGCTTGTTTTAACGATTCCCGAGCTTCACTTGGTGATAAGCATCGGAGCAAAATACCATTGAAGGATCATCAGTACAAATTCTGTATAGTAGAATCTTGGAAAAAGTGTGGAGCCCTTCTTTGGATCGATATTTCTTGCTTCGGATCATCTGGTAGTATCCCGTACAAGATATAGTCTATGATTGGGAAGCACCAATCATTACCTTTGAAGTGAGCTATCTTGACCTGCATTTCGTTGGCTTCAAGGATATGCTCTGGGAAAAACAATTGATGGCTAACCACCGTGATACGCCTAGTGGATTTAGGCATCAAGGCGAGTGTGGCTACAAGGGACGGTAGAGCATCCGCATGGGTGTTGTTCAGGTGAGCTATATAGCTAATGTAAAATCCTTCAAAAGATTGGGCTAGTTTTGTTGCCGCTTTATGGTAAGGTATGAGTTTATTATGGAGGACATCGTATTCTCCTTTTATTTGATTCACGATTTTTTTAGAATCGCCGTGAGTTTCAAGGTATTTGACACCCATTTCTTGAGCAAGTGGTAGGCCGATTTTAAGAGCGTTATACTCGACTATATTATTGGAACATGGCTCGGTCAATGAATAAGCCCGAGAGAGGACATGTCCATAGGGATCAATCAACACTACCCCCACTCATGTAATGATTTCTCCTTTATGGTTGCGTCGTGAAGCACCGTTAAAGTAGAGTTGTCATATTTAATGGCCTGAACAACATTTGACTTAAAAACTTCATTCAGGATGTCTTCATAGAGCTTAGAAGACTTGAGAATAGGGTGTTCTGTCAGAAAATAGGCTATTGCTTGACCCTTACCTGCTTTCTTCTACATGAATGTCATGTTGTATTACGATAGTAGTATCGCCTATTTTGCTAACCTGGAATTCAGTGACCCAGATTTTGTCATGAGTAACTATAGAGGATTAACTCTTGAGATGATGTGAATGGATTGGCCGGTGAGGTAGTGCTGTATCTTCTAAATCACGAAGACCAATGCTAAATATTCCTTCTCGACCGAGTTATACCGATGCTCGGCAACAATCATAGTGCAACTGAGATAATAAATGGCTTGTTCAGGCCATTATCATCTTTCTGAGTGAGCAGGGCTCCGAGTGAATGATCCATTGTCCTGACATAGATCAAGAATAGTTTACTTGATACTGGTGCGGCTAAGAGTGGTGGCTTTGTGACATAAACTTTTATTTCGTTGAAAGATTCTTGGCAGACGTCATTCCAAATGAACAAAACAAATTTCTTCATATGTCTTTGGAATGGTTGACATTTCCCAGACAAATTGGCGATAAACCTTCGGATGTAGGATAATCGTCCTTATAAACCCCTGAGCTCTTTGAGGTTCTTCGATGGTAGCATCTACTGAATGACATTCAATTTTCCAGGATCAACGTGTATTCCTATAGATGTTACGATAAACCTAAGGAATTTACCTGATGATATCTTAAGGAAGGACTTGGTTGGATTTATCTTGAGTTAGTGTTTTCGGATGACTTCAAAGACCATTCTTAGATCACCAACGTGGTCTTTTTTGTGATGACTTTTGATTGTGAGGTCGTCGACGTAGTACTCCACTGTTTTGCACTGATGTTCACGAAAGATCATGTTCATAGCATGTTGGTAAGTAGCTCTAGTGTTCTTCAGATCCAAGGGCATTACTGTATAACAGTATACTCCTAAAGGTGTTCTGAAGGCTTTGTGCTTTTGGTCATGTGGATGCATTTTGATCTGGTTGTATCTAAAGAAACTATCCATGAAAGACATCCTCTCAAACCCACACGTATTATCGACCATAACGTCTGTGGTAGGAAGAGGGAACTCATCTTTTAGACAAGCGAGGTTGAGATCATGGAAGTCAATGCAGATTTGGATCTTACTGTTATTTTTCATCACCACCATGATGTTCACTAACCAATCGGGATGTTGTTCTTTACGGATAAACCCACACTTAATGAGCTTGTATATTTCCTTTTTGATTTATTCTATTGATTCAGGACAGAAGTGCCATTGTTGCTGTTTGATCGGCTTAAAGCTAGGGTTGATGTTAAGACGATGTACAACCACGCTGGGGTCTAGACCCAACATGTCTTCATAGCTCTAGGCAAAGACATCAATATATTCTTAGACGAGAACTATGAGTTCTTCCTTTTTAGCTAATAATAGACTTTTACTGATAAATATAGGCTTTGGGTTGATTTAATCACCAATGTTGATTTGGACCACTTTATCCTTGATGGGTTATTCTCTTGTTTCAAAACACGACTCCCATTGCTTTTCAAGTTGCTTTACCTATGAATCATCTTTAGGATCTTCAAACATCTCGAATTCATCAAGATCTATGGTTAGGTTATATGAGACCATGTTGTTTGTAAATTCACTGCACAAGACTCCAAGTCTGATGTCAGAATCCCGGTTGAACGTGTCCAAAGAACTGCTTAGTCATAGATGTTGGTCCTGCTTGTGGCTCAACGTCTGGAGAGATGTAATCGAGTCCTTGTTTGGTCCGATTATAATAATAAACAACTTTACCTTCTAGCGTAAAGGGGATCAAAGGGGCATAGCCCTCTATTAAAATTCAACCCTTGTTTTGTAGTTAGACTGTATCACGTTTTTGCCATGATTTGTTGAGATTGTTGGCTATACCCAAAAAATTCTAGCGTTGCCTTAGCTTCTTCATCGGAGCTCTGTAAGTGAGATTGTGACTTAACTTTTCCAAATATGATTAGGTTCAAAGTGTTTCCTCTGGGCAGAACCATGAAGGTGGCGTCATTCGAGTTGTCCAGCTGGTTGTGAGTATGGTATGACTCGTTTATTGCCATGCGTAATATTGGTTTTAAGGCTAACCTGACCATTAGATTTTCGACTCTTGAGTTTTGAACTCAGAGTCTAAAGAGTAGTCATAAGCAAACTCTTCTTCATTGAAGATCCAATCTCCTTGACCTTCGGTAGATTAGTCGATATAGAGGTCATCTAGGGTAATTACAGGTGGATCTATGTCCCAGACCAGATCAACAATGGGATCTAGCTCAACATTTATTTCATTACCGCTATTGTTTGACTTTCATCTTATAATAGAGAGTCAGTGAAGTAGTTCTCCACCCTCTTGAAAGGATGCTTTTTAGCATCAACTCTTTGTTGGACTCCACATTCATCAATGTATTTGAAACATTGATGAAGTGTTGAAGTGATGATCTGGTTAGAGTGGATCCAAGGTCATCCATGCAGGAGATTGTAAGGTGTTTCGACGTCGATAGCATAACAAGTCACTTCCTTCTACAAGTTTTTGATCTGACACTTAAGTCAGATCTTTCCAAGTGATCAGTTGCTACTGAAGTTGAAGCTGAGTATGGTTGCAGACTTCTTTGAGATCTTGTGAAGGAAAATTCCCAAGAAGATCATGAGTCTTCACAGAATTATGCTCAGCACAGAGCCTGGATCAATGTGAATCCTCTCGATACGGGACGACTTTATATATCCAGTGTAGTAAATGGGTCGGTTGTGATGATGGTCCTTGACTAGCATATCTTCCGGGGTGAAGGTGATGTGCGACATTTGCTTTCGGCATTGATAGCGTTGCTTGGACCCTTCATCTTGAGGAGGTTCACTCATGTGGGCGAGACATGCCTCACTGTCATTCAGGGCTTCTTTTAAAGCATCTCTTGTATCCTTAGACAAACACAGCAGTTCGAATAAGGTGATACGGGCTAGAATATTGGCCAATTGTGCCATGATATCATATTTGAACAGGGCTTTAGAGTCACTTGGAGGATGCTGTAGGGCTTTGTTGAACCGAGTCTCTTTTTGTTTGGCTAGTTCAGGTTGTTTGGACGTTCCTGGCTGATTGTAATCCCTTAGGTAATCTTTGTCGGATCTTGTCCTTGTCATGGCTACTTTTTCTCCATCTGAATCAGGATCTTGTCCTTGTCATGGCTACTTTTTCTCCGTCCGAGTCGGTGAGTGAAGTGACATGCTTGGACTCTTATTCAATGATTGCAGAGATGGCGTTACAGGCCTTCATCTTTTACTTGCTCTTAAGCTTATGAATGGTCCAATCTTCATCTTGAAGAAGGTCAGGATGTACCCACATTATTTGTCCTCTCGCCGTGGTAAGAAGAACTAAGCCTTAGTTTTGCTGGTTTTGGCCGTCATAGTTAACCTCCTCCATTTTTGCGGTAGGAATGGGGATGACACCATCTTGAGCTTGGATCTGTAGCATAGAACCAAATTGGAGGGTCACCATGTTAGCGGTGACTTTCTTTTGCTCAGGTTTGATCTTGAGAATTCTTGATTCGACGAACGTCTAGATCTTATCCTTTAGGATGAGTAGTTCTTCGATGGGTGTCCCAACATTTTGTGATAGAGACAGTAGTTGGGGTCATTGGTCTTTTTGACTTCTTTCGGGTATCAAGCTTCTGTAAGCTTCAGACGATTTTCCTTGTTAAGGACGAGGAAGATGTAGACTATATGTTCATCCTTGAGTGAATAATTACACCAAAAATTCTTCCTTGGCTGATTTTGTTGGATGTTATTGACACTCTGGTCTCCAACATCGAAAGTTTCTTTAGCTTTTGGTTGTGACGTTTGCCCTTGTTTGCCTTTGTGGCCCTTGAAGTTGGTACGAGGTTCAAATTTTTTGAAACACTCTGACGACTTCTTGGTTAACTCAGCATGCTCCATCAAATCTTTCTAGGTGTGAGCAGTGACAGCACCCATGTGGGCTTTAGTTCGTGCCAGGAAGTTGTGTCCGCAAGTTTGAAGCAGCATTGGTAACAGCATAGCTCAACATTATAATGTCAAATTGTGGTATCTTTCAATGTATTCCCTGGCCGTCCTATTCCTGCTTTGTTTCTTGGAAAGGACTTTGGTCATGGTGACATCGGATTGTTCCTCATGGTATTGTGATAGGAACTTTGATTCCAAATCCGCCCAGGACCTGATTGATCCCTCAGGCAACCAATCAAAGGCTACCCCATGAAGGGTGCCAATAAAAATATGTGTCTTATTAGCATCATTACCCACTACGTTTCTGGCTTGCTGATGGAAGTAGTAGATGTTGGCCTTCTTGTTTTGATGATGTTTAACAAACAATTTACCACTAATGTTGTTTGTCTAGTATTTGTGTTTTCTTATTTATTATAGACAAACAACGTAGTTGGAGGATGGATGGAATCGAGCCTTAACGATCATATCAAATAGAGGTTGGCGGAATTGTGGAGTGAAGCAACGTCAATTCAAGTTAAAGATCCAATTACAAGCTTCTTCCGCAAAGTTTACCAAGTCATACTCATTGAAGACCTTCATCAAGCTTGGGTATATTTAGTATAGGTTTATATTATGTGTGTTTAATACTCTAAGCTCAATATCATATACACACATAATATTGGATTTTCTCACAAAATGAGCTATTTTGAGAAAACTTTGTGATATTGTTTTATTGACCATGTTTACTTTATATTCATGTGTTATAATGTTTATGAAGACATTTCATAAAGTTTCAATATGTGTTTAAACTCTTTTTGTCAAAAACATGTTCTTAACAAATTCATATTCATGCATGTTTTTACAAAATAATGAGTTTTCACAATTGAGAGATGAAAATTGAAAATTTATTTTTGTAACATATTTGTTTTCATGTTTATAAACATTTTATAAAGTTTCGTAATTTTCAAAGGTCAAATAAATATTTTACAAATATTTTAAACTGATTCAAAATATTTTTTTGAATGTATCAGTATGCGGTCGACCGCACTTGAGTTCATTTGTCAGTGGGTAGCAGAGAGTTTGTCGGTCGACCACCGCGGTCGACCGAGAGCTCGAGACTTCCCACGGTCGACCGCACCGTGTTTTAAAAGAGTTTTAAAAAGAGTTTAAGCTTGTTTTAAGGGTTTGGTTTAAAGCTGTTTTGGTTTTTACAAGTGGAGGCACTACAACAAAATACAACATTGCCGACGAAACAAAAACGTCGGTAAATGTTTAAAAAACGTCGGGAAAAATATTTCCCGACGCAAAATGCAGCGTCGCTAACGCGTCGCCAAAAGTGCGTCAAGGAAAGTATTTGGCGACGCAAATACACTACGTCGCCAAAAGTACACTTTTGGCGACGCGACATGCGTCGGGAAAAGTACATTTTTTAGTGACGCATATTATTTTGCGTCGGCAAAAGCATGCTGAATTTTTCCATATGCGAAACGGCGTCGGGAAATCTTGCACTTTTGGCGACATACTTAACGTCGGCAAAGGGCAATGCGTCGGCAAAAGTATACTTTTAGCGACGCAGAATGAAGCGTCGCTAAAAAGCTTATCTTTGGCGACGCATGATTTGCATCGGCAAAAGTGTAGCTTTTAGCGACGCTCTATTCTGCGTCGCTAAAAGTATACTTTTGGCGGCGCAAATCATGCGTCGCCAAAGATAAGCTTTTTAGCGACGCTCCATTCTGCGTCGCTAAAAGTATACTTTTACCGACGCATTGCCCTTTGCCGACGTTAAGTGCGTCGCTAAAAGATATTACTTTTGGTGATAAAATATGACGTCGGCAAAAGTGTTACATTTAGCGACTAAATATAGCGTCGGCAAAAGTGTTTCTTTTGCTGACGCTTATCAACACTAATTTGCATCGCCAAAAATAATATATTTTCTGTCAAATACAAGCCTACACTGAATTTGAACATCCACAAAAATTTGATCTCATTCACATCAACATAAAAGTCTATTTTTCCATTTCCCCTTGAGCACTAAAAGCGTTAATTTACAAACTTCCTCTTGCATACCCAAATACATAAAGTCTCTCAAAAACAGATTACATCAAGGAAACTAGAAACAACAATCTCAAATGTGTATCATTAATTACAAAGAACAAATGGATTTGAGGAAGAACATGTCCCAATTTAGATAGTGCATCTGCAACAGTGTTTGCCTCTCGCATACAGTGTAGGACAGGAACTTCTACATGCAAAAAAGAACAAAAAACATCACAAAGAGAATGATGCGTATGGGAGCTTTTAAACAAACAACTACTTTTACGACCAACTACCTCATTGAAGCGTATTTCCTCAAATTCAGACATAGTCAAACAGTTTGAGTTGGAATTAATGAAAAAAATAATTTGCAATGCGATGAGAATTAAAAAAAATCAGATACAAGGTCCTTAAAGATTGGAATCATTCTTCATCTAAGTATAAAATCTAGAAAACGAGGATATAAATGTAATTATGCCAGACTCCACAATTTTGATCCATAACAAAGATTTGTAGCATAACCATCACCAATGAAAAACTACTGATTCCTGAAGTTCAATAAAAGTCAATCGAGATAACAGTTTCTCCATCAGTATTTGATGCTTCTGAAGTATAACTTTTTGTGTATCATTCTTTCACAAGGGGTGGGTCGGATTTGAGTATAAGATTTTGCATATCAGTAATTGATGCAGGAAATTGACATTACCCCTATATTTTCTGCTCGCAAAGTGATCATGATTCTTGATGTTAAAAGCAGGATTTCATTCTTCAATGCTACTCCCCACTAACTAGAAATTTAGTAGATACAAACAATACTTTTAGAGTAAGAAATCTAATATCTACCTGGCACTGATACATAAAAGCTAATCTGGTAGCTGGTATTATGATGCTGTGACAAGTAAGCAGCTTGACCCATGTATGCCAATATTAGCGCTGGGTAAACTAGTTTTTTTAATACTTGATATTTATCTTAGCAAAAGATCACCTGTTATGCAAAGTAGTATTCCTCCTAAAGACATCCATCCACCCTTTGTGGTCTTCTTCAAGAATTTAAACATATAATATGGAGAAAGGGCTTGATAAACATGAGGATTCCAATGAATGATGTTGTATAGGCACTAATGCATAATAGCCACGGATATAGACATAAGGAACAACCAGTTCTAAAAGGTGATCTAGACTAAGGAACAGAAAATACCTTTCAGTGGAACCTACTGATGACAGCCCATACAGTTAACTATCATCAGTTCTTTTTTCAAACAAATTGACCATTGGAATGTGGAACTCATCTTATAGCTGGTAAAAGAATGTTCTAACTTCTAATTACAAAGTAATCCTAGAAATATCAAGAATTTTAATCATGCGGATATAGTTTTTGGCAACAAGATTTTATTTCATGTCTGTTACGAATCAAAGAGAATATAAGATGTTTCTCAAGGATACTCCTCTTAACCTAATAGTGCAGCTCAAATGGCAGTGTTACTGCAAAAGGATCCAAATTTGCTTAACCCATCCTTCACCATTTACATTATTGAGTGACAAATGGATCCATCCAAGTTTCTAAGTTTCTACAAAATATCTTATGAACTCTGACGTTCTTGGATCCAGTCCATATAGAAATACAGTCATCACCTAGAGATATAAAGCTTTTTTCATTACTATGATTTCTGAAATATTAGGATTATATGCAATAAAAGAAAGATCAGCCCAATTTATCACCTGTCCTGATTTCGCAGTTTCTTATGACAACATTACTGGCATGATCCAAATGAATCCCATCTGTGTTTGGACTCTTTTCTGGTGCATGGATGAAGAGCTTTGAGAGTTTAACTTCCCTACTATCTTTTACTACTACATGAAATTGTTGGCTATCTTTTATTCTTAGGTTCTTCACCCTCAAGTAATTGCATGAAACAAAGGTCAATGCCTGTCAAAAACAATGAAACTCTTCTGTCATTTTAAGATATATAATTCAAGAGCTAAGCTGATTTCATACCGTTGGAGCGCCAATGCAGGGCTGAAATAGTCAGGAAAATCAGAAGAGAGGATAAATCAGACACTGGCCTACAAGAATTACATGGTTCACTCAGTAATTAAAATAGGAGGAGAAGGTCACCAGAGTTTTATTTCTCTTGCAAGAGTTTTGCCACCAAATATGCCCATTGCCATTGATGGTACCTCCTCCTTTGACGACAAGGTTCCTCACGCTATCAAATACGATCCATAGCCTTCTGTTCTTATCGTTCCATTCGGATCGATTCAAAGGAGCAGCGAGGGTTCCCTTAATCTGATGCATCAATGAAATATCAAAACCAACATATTGTACTTTCTTCCAAGCTCAATTAGTCAATGTTGATGGATTTACCAGAAATGTGACAGGAGACTTGCAAGGGCCAGTGAAGTTGAGTTGCTCAAGCAAATATCTCCTTCTCTTGGGCACCACAAGCACAGCTGATACTGAAGATGAGCAGGTTTCTTTCCAGGCTTTTTTAAATGCCTGCGCCAGCACAAACAATTCTTTATTTTTCTTCTTGTTTTGTTATTTGTTATTATTATTATTATTATTATTTTTTTAATCCAAAAAACACAGTTTGAATGGTTATGAACTTACCTTGCTATCATCGGTAGCTCCATCGCCTTTGGCGAAGTGATCATCCACACTCACAACTCTATGGCCTTCTTCGTTGTGGCTTGGAACGCTTTGGCAAGAGCAGTTATGGGTGAGGAGAGTGAGGATTGACAGAATTAGAAACTTGGATGGATCCATTTGTCACTCAATAATTTGAAACATATTGGATGTGGTTGTTCCTATGCATTTTGTTTTGCTGACTACCTAGTTGTACATGATGGAGTCCTTGTGGTTTACTTGACTCCAACTATTCACTCTGCTTTGATTTTGGAATATGATAATTTGAATTAATCAGTATAATTATCCTGCTCTCTTTTTATATTTCCTGTACATTTTTCAATAAACAATTACCTTTTAGAAATCATTAGATAAATTTTCAGTTGTAAAGTATCTATTTCTTCAGGCTTAGAGGTTATCATGCATGACGTTGCCAGTTATGTTTCCTTTACTATGTAGCAAATCTAGTTCTATTTTAAAGTTGCATTGGGTCTAGAATTTCAAAACAGTGTTCTAGCTGAAAAAGAGTTCCTGCTCAAGTTTTATTCTTCCTTGTACAAATCAAAGCTAGTTTCTTTTAATTACCTTTTATTTTCTATTCTATATAAGGAAGCCTCTACTTTTGGGGTGTTTATGATCAAATTGATACATCTGCTTTTATCCTAATTTAAAAAAATTTTAAAAAATTCAAAGCTATGTCGTGTTCGATCAGGTATACATGCATATTTATATGCATATTCGACAGGATATGAACATATACATTTGCAGATTTTTTTTCTGTTTACATCCATAATTTTGATAGGTCAAAAAAAAAATACTTCTATTGATTAGCAGACGTAATAATTACCTTTAAAGAGTATCAGCAAGCAGAACAAACTACTCTCAAGTTCAGTATGAAAAAAAAACACAGTGAACATGAAGAATAATAAAACAAAAAAATTCTAAAAACAACAGGCATAGAGATCGTAGATGGCTTGCATAATACCTGAAACAATACATTCAGATACCTGCAGATATATCAAACTCTATCCACATTGTACAATATCAAATTACCAACTTATGCAATGAGATAAACATAGGGGAAAGCTTCACTTCCTCTTAAACTGTAACTTAAATCCTAAGTAAAGAATTCTGAACAGTTGATCCTAGGCTATTATAATCATTGATCCAAGTGAGAGCTAATGACTCTTAGCCAAAACCCCTCAAGTACTTGAGAATCTCCTGCAACTAGAGAGATCCTTATTTAAACTCCCCACTTGTGCATTTTATATGCCAATGTGCACTGCATAAAGATCTCCAAAGTGCGAGATTTCAAAATGCATGCTTGCCACCATCATTTGATGAAAAAGGGAAAGTTGACTTATAAGTTTGAAAAGAAAAAGCTGCAAGAATGTACCTTGTATTTTCCGCCCTATTAGTTTCAAATCTAGATAGATCAAAAATATTCGACGAAAAATACCCGAATTAAGGTTGCTGAATTAAGGAGAAGAATTATTAACAATTTTCTTCAAAATAATGTTTCCAGCCAATGCAAATAATTCAGACTCATCGTCAACAAAGCATCCCAAATTAACAAACAACTTGAGGAGCTCACTTCAGATATAATACGTCCAACTACATCGAGGGGAAGGAAGTGTTTACTGCACATCAAGAATCATGACCCAATAGAAACCCTATGGTTACAATTGAAAGCAAATGAATACATCGGCGAGATTCAGTACCTTCCACGGTCCTGGGGGCGATTTTGGCAGGAGGAGGAGGCGGCGAGATCCGACGGAGGTAGCGAGA